GTCAAGTGGAGTCTAAAGTCATCAAATTGACTCGAGTCCACACCACTGCTGTCCGCACCAAATGTCACTTTTTCCATAGGAATACCTGTGGTTATAATGTAATATAATATATGATTGCAGAATCGTTATGCAACCAAATGAACATTGTTTAACAAACAGTGATTTTTTAAGGGTACAAATTTGCAATGAGTCTTTCACTCATTGCAAGTATTCATACTTCTCTAGGTTCAATAAATCAGGTGGCGCCACTCTGTGGGAAGAGAGTGACTGCACATATTTTTTAAAACGACAGTGAATTTAGTACTAAATCGTAGTTTTCCTGGACTCAGTGTGGATCTGCTGGAGATATTCGTCCCGTTAACAGGGAGCTTTTTCGTTGTCAAAATGCTCGCTCGGCGTGTGATTTAATTTGTTTTTCCCAATAATATATGTAGAACTTCATTAGAATTTGTTTTCATTCTAATTTTAAAACTGTAAAAAAAAAAAAAAACATTGCGACAAATGTGTTTTGGTGAATTTGCACTACACCAGGCGTGTCAAACTCATTTTCACTACGCGATACAGTTCAGTTCTAAATAGAGGACTGTATAGATGTAACTATTCCATAATGTATTTACATATATTTATATCTGCAATTGATTATTATTGAAAATGATACAACCCATTTGATGCCTTTGTCTAAACAATAATGTTGCTATTTACTTGTTTCTCTTCCATCCCCTGGATTGCTTTCAATTACTACTAATGACCGCTGCAAATGTAACCAAAAGGAATGTCATAAGTACAGGGTTCGGTCCCAGACTGCATTCGTACTGAAACAACAGGGTGTTGCACCACCTCAGGCTCAGAAAGGTGTAGTGTGGGCAGTGACGAGCACAAAGGTTAGTCACAGCGTCACCATAAAATGACTTCCTGATTAAAACTGCAGCACCATACTACAATCACTGTAATGAGGTGGTATTGACACACCTTTGGATTAAATCAAAAAGAAAACTCCCGACGGACGGCTCAAAAATAATTAGCCTTAACCAGAGGTGCGGACTCGAGTCGCATGACTTGGACTCGAGTCAGACTCAAGTCATCATTTTGATGAGTTTAGACTCGACTAGATTCTTGATAAAATGTAAAGAGACTTGCCACTCGACTTGGACTTTAAAATCAATGACTCGTGACTTCACTTGGACTCGAGCCCTTTCTCCAAAACCCAAAGTGATCTGTGTAAATATGTTGTTATTTTGTTTGAAAAGGACTAGAAAGGACTCGAAACAGAAACGGCAGGACTTGGGACTTGACTTGACACTTTCCAGTCTTGACTTGGACTCGACTCGGACTTTGCCTGTCTTGACTTGAGACTTGACTCGGACTTGAGTGCAAAGACTTGAGACTTACTTGTGATTTGCAAAGCAATGACTTGGTCCCACCTCTGGCCTTAACTAAGATCATAGGTTTCAGTGTGTTAAGTGACTATAAAAGCTAACTGATTCGCGTGTAAGCCAACCCCTGAAAATTGATCCCAAATTGATCCCAAAATTATCTTGGTAAACACTGTTTGCGATGGAAAATACAAGATGTGGGACCAAGTCCTTGCTTTGCAAGTCATAAGTAAGTCTCAAGTCTTTGCACTCAAGTCCGAGTCAAGTCTCAAGTCAAGACAGGCAAAGTCCGAGTCGAGCCCAAGTCAAGACTAAAAAGTGTCAAGTCCCCAGTCCTGCCATTTCTGTTTCGAGTCCTTTTAAACAAAATAATAATATATTTACACAGATCATTTTGGGTTTGGGAGAAAGTATCAAGTTTTGTCGAGTCAAAGGGCTCGAGTCCAAGGGAAGTCACGAGTCGTTGACGTTAAAGTCCAAGTCGAGTTGCAAGTCTCTTTACATTTTGTCAAGTCGAGTCTAAAGTCATCAAATTGACGCCTCGAGTCTGACTCGAGTCCAAGTCATGTGACTCGAGTCCACACCTCTGGAAAATACTGTCGCAGGTATTTCTGCGCATATAAGCCGACCCCGCCCGATTTGATTTTTTTTTTTTTTGTGGCGTCTTAAATTCGGCTTATATGCGAGTATGTAACGGTATATATATTTGTATTGTATCGACTATTTTTGTGTTATTCCTGTTGTATTGATGCAGATACATTTAAGGTTCGATTAAATCTGGTTTCCTTGTCTCCCTGTTGGCACTAGTCTTTTTTAATTTTTTTTTAATTTTTTTAATTTAATATTGTAAAGGAGGCTGTTATTTTTCATTCTCGCACTCATTCTTATGATGTGTCCTGTTTTTTTTTTGTTTTTTGTAAAGGAGGCTGTTATTTTTCATTCTCATGCTCATTTTTATCATAAGTCTCCTTTTTCTTTCTTTTTTTTGGGGGGGTGAGGGGGCATGAAAATTGTTTTGCAAACCCAAGTGTCTCCTATTGAGCTCATTTTGAATCCAAAACAATGTTAACATTCAAATAAGAAGTAATAAGAAAAGCCCTATATTTACATGAAATGTCTCGCAGCCACATGTAGCAAGCATGAAGCATCAAATCAAACGCATGGAGTTGCCTGTTGGAAAGTTACCGTTTTAGACACTTTCATCATAACCCCACCCCTTTAAGTTGTCCACCTACCTGGCTTTCAGTTCCCTGTGCTCCTCCCTCAGTTTGCTCAGCTCCAGTTGCAGGTGAGCTCGCTCCTTGGCGACCTGGTCCAGGGTTTTCCGAGCATCGGCCAATTCAGTCTCGTAGGCTGCTTTTACTCCCGTCACTTCTCGGCTGACCACAGACTCACTTTCGGTAATCCGCATCCGTAAACCAGCATTTTCGACCTCCAGTGATCGGACCTTGTCGATGTAGACGGCCAGACGGTCGTTGAGGTTGCACAAGTCTTTCTTCTCCTGCAGTCTGGTGATGCGGGTAGGGGAAAGAACGGTGGTGGCACCGCGGCTGACGCGTTTTTGGCCAGGGGTCTCCATGGCAAAATACAACTTGGAAAAGAGGTGCTGACTTGATAACGTCTCTAGCTGTGAGAAGAAGAAGAAGAAAAGTAAATTGCAAAAGTAAATGCATTTGTGGCGTTTTTACGTAGAATCCAAACTTTGTGATTCTTACTTAAGGAAATGAAGAATTCAATCTGAGTTTGACTTATCTGGGCTGCTAAAAGCACTGTTTAAAGTGCTGATAAATACACAAAGCAATATTAGATCATTGTGTTTTGTCTTTTTTTTTGTTTGTTTGTTTTTTTTTTGTAAAAACCCAAACAAAGAACCCAACCGAAATACAATGTGTTTTATGAATGCGCAGCGTAAACAGGGTCTGAAAAGAAAACAACTAGATTTTTTTTTTTTTTTGCACTATATAAATCTATATTTAGACACACACCGCACTAACAGAGACACAAACAAACCATCCAAGTACGGGAGGTGGGTTCCATTTATACTACTCCTCCACCTGGTTGTGTGCTCGCTATCGCCAGAGGCTCACTTTTTCAGGTTTCGAAACGCATTTGTGCATGCTTGCTCAAGATTCCGGGATATTTTTTATTGAATTTGCACACGGAACTCCCTGGAGATCGGATATCGCTTTGTTACTAAATTGCATGGGGTTATTTCAGGGCAAGTTTACTACTAAAAAAAAAAAAACGCTGAATGCTAAATGCTAAACAAACAGGCAGAAAAAAAAAAAAAAAAAACGCTGAATGCTTAATGATAAACAAAGATGAAACAGGCAAAGGGTATATTTGAGTAGGTTATCAAAAATATACAAAATAAAAGGTTTTCATCTTTTTAATGTGGTAAAAAAAATTTTTTTTACTCTAATCTTATTACATTTATATAATCAAAAACCCTGTCATATCATTACTATAGGGTTAGTCTGAGCACATAATGAATGAGTTTGTTTTCGTTACTGTCCTGAGCTGTAAACTAACAGCTCTCACTTTAGTCAACAGCCATTTCCCAGAGATAAGAATAAAATGTTCAAAGACGGGCAGCGCCGCTAAACTCCTCGCCATTTATTACTACACCACTCGTTACGGAAGAATGTGAATATTTTTTTTATGGCAAGGCCGGTGTTCACATGCTCACAAGAGGTGTGAATGTGTGCACACACCTCTGGACTGATCCCACATACCACGCCACCCACTCCCGGTAAAAAACATTTCATTCTGAACATTTGTTTGAGTGCTTAAGCGCTAGTTGTTGTTTTTTTTTATGTTTAACTCTGTTTAAACAATAAAAAACACATAAAACTTTGAGCTACAAAAATGCAACACGCTGGTCTGTAAGGTATGAAAGACGAGACAAGGTCGTAAAAATGTTTTCCAACCTTTTCCCAAAACTTTAACACAGCTTTTAAGACAAAGTTTCCTCACACCGCTAAAGCACAAATGCATAGGACCTTTTTCTATCTTTGTCTGTGTGTGTGTGTGTGTGCGTGCGTATAGACGCCTCTTTACCCCAATGCAGTGTAGAGAAGAAACTTGTTGAACAGTGCAGTCTTGTTCGTAGCTGGTGGGTGGGACTGTGTGTCTCTGGCTGGTGCCCTGTAGAAGAACAGAAAGAGGGGAGGGACTGTGAGAGGAGGGCGGTGTCAAAGAGGAGGCGTTATTGTAAAACAGTCTCTGATAATGTGTGTATCCGGGTAGAAAAGTCTTCTTAAAGAGGACACAAAATAAGCCTCATTCCAGATAAGACTAACACTTTTAAGGGTTTTGTGCCGCATTTGAAAAAAAAAATTGAAAAAAAAAAACCCCAAAAGGTCAGCAGCAGTAGAGTTTGTTACATGAGCCTAATACCACGCCACCCACTCCCGGTAAAAACATTTCATTCTGAACGTTTGTTTGAGTGCTTTACTCTGTTTAAACAATAAAAAACACACACAAAACTTTGAGCTACAAAAATGCATTCAACGCAACACGCTGGTCTGTAAGGTATGAAAGACGAGACAAGGTCGTAAAAATGTTTTCCAACCTTTTCCCAAAACTTTAACACAGCTTTTAAGACAAAGTTTCCTCACACCGCTAAAGCACAAATGCATAGGACCTTTTTCTATCTTTGTCTGTGTGTGTGTGTGTGTGCGTGCGTATAGACGCCTCTTTACCCCAATGCAGTGTAGAGAAGAAACTTGTTGAACAGTGCAGTCTTGTTCGTAGCTGGTGGGTGGGACTGTGTGTCTCTGGCTGGTGCCCTGTAGAAGAACAGAAAGAGGGGAGGGACTGTGAGAGGAGGGCGGTGTCAAAGAGGAGGCGTTATTGTAAAACAGTCTCTGATAATGTGTGTATCCGGGTAGAAAAGTCTTCTTAAAGAGGACACAAAATAAGCCTCATTCCAGATAAGACTAACACTTTTAAGGGTTTTGTGCCGCATTTGAAAAAAAAAATTGAAAAAAAAAAACCCCAAAAGGTCAGCAGCAGTAGAGTTTGTTACATGAGCCTAAAGGGACATTTTCCTGTTTTTTTTTTTCTTTTTTTTTTTACTAACAAGGAATCCATCGTAATCCTTTCAAGGAGGACATTCTTCTGTTTAATGAGCCCCAGAGATGCACTGATTTCTAAACGTTTTTTGTTTGACTATGCAGTGTGTGTGTGTGTGTGTCTGCACTTAAAAACATTAATAGCACAAAAACTAACGAACCTATTCCTAGCCTGGCAGCCTATTTCTTAGTTGCTTTATGAGCTATGTATAGCGTAGCATTATACTCTTGTATGACAAGTTAGGATCATATAATGTTTAACTTGTTTGTCATATTGGGCTGCATATAAATAAACCACTATTTTTCATAACCTAAATGACAGGAACACAACTGCAACGCGCATTAACCTAGCTTTTGTTTATTCAGTGAGCTATTTCTTTTTTTATATATATTCTCTGCTGCTAAGAATACACCTCCAGAAAATGAGGCAAAAAAAAAAAACAACTTTACTTTTGAGATGAAACAAATGTTGGTAAAAAAAAAATCGAGTGTGACACAGTGAATTTTGTGTATTTTTGCTGCACTAATATATAACATATATAACATCTATAGTGTGTAGTAGCATCCATATAATGCAACAACTGAATCTTGTTGTTCTATAAAGCTACATGAATTTAATCAGCATCCCAACATAATAGATACATAAAGTAAGTTTAGTTTATATGAGTAAATATATATTTACTGTTTTCTGTTGGGAGCGACTTATCAAAACACCCCGACATCACCGTAGTGCAGAATACACTGGTGTCAGTGTCAGTTTACAGACACTGACCACCACTTCTGGTAAACATTATAACACTGCAGTGTGCATCAGTCTTTAAAATACATTAAATAAACAAATAAACCAATTTGACAAGAACGTGTTGCTAAACATATCTCAAATCACACACAAAAAAACAAATTCAGCCATTAATATAAATGTAAATGTTCAGTTTAACAATGCAGTTAACTGGTAAATTATAACTATTTCACATTATCCAGACAGGTCAGTACTAAATTAATGTGGGGGAGGTGGGTGACTGTGACTCACAACAAGCAGTCCTCTGATGCTACTTCTTCCTCACCTGAATCCAATGGAACAACACGTAGGGAACTGCTAGCAAAGAAGACGGCCAGCATTCCAATTTACACTACGTTGAGATGCGAACAAACTGATTTAAACTGCGTATATTGACAACGCACTGTGGTCAAGGAGTGTTTGTTACTCAAACTTAGACGGGGACTGCTAGTGTGCTACTGCGTATATTTTGTTTTATTAAGCCCTACCGCCCTCTGCTAGTAAACAGCAACTTGGCAGCGGTAAACCCTACCGACGACACCGCAAGTCCGAGCTTCTATTAGATAATCAAACTGTCAGTCACATCCGGTGACCAATCATGTTCACTCTCCTAACATTCTACTCCCCCTCGTCTGTGTTGACTTTTTCCTCAATGTCCACTGAATAAAGTTTAAGATAATATGAGATTTTGAGAAGTATTAGTCACGCTACCATTACCGTATTTTACATAGATATGAAAACTATTAGTTACGCTACCATTACCGTAGTTTACATAGATATACGTACAACCTACGGCACTTCTGAAGAGCACTGTATACGGCTTCCCATTCGAAAGTCACTACTGTGGAAGAAACCTACTGATCCTGTTGCCCTCGATGTAACTGCTTTCCACTAGTGTATTTATGAATAACGTCCACTAGTGTCCACTATTGTATTTAGGATTTTTTTAAAAACTAAAATAAAACATTATGGAAAGGGATGGATGCCACCTGTCAATTTGTAATTTAAGAAAAATATCAAATAAATTTCGCTACACAAATAGACGAATTTATATTTATAATACATATTTGCTTCTCCTGTCACAGTGAAATTCAATTGAATATCCCTTTCACTAGGTGGCGACAGAACTGTTTTTGACAAATTTGTTCAAATATTATTTTTTAAATATTATTTTGTTAATGGATTTCTTAGTATTAAAAAAAAAAACAAGGATGTTTCTTGTTCCTAGTTCCGCTAAAGACACACTCTGGCGCTCCCTACTGTTCAGTTGAAACATTCACAGTCGTCATCGAGTAAGGGTTGTCTAATTCTACACTAGAATTATAATTCATTTTCTTTTCTTTTTTTTAGAACAATTCAATTGGTGCAGATTTTTTTGAATGATGCTGCAGAGTTTAAATAAAGAGCAGCATTACCTTTTGCAGAAGTAATGATAGTGTCAGTAGTAGTCGCTGTTTGTAGTAAAATTGGTAGTGAGTATATAATATCAGAACTCCTTTTGGGAGCTTTTTGCCTGTGTTAATAGCTCTACATATTTTGGCTAACTTTTAATTGTTTACTTTAGTGTTTACCTGTCTAAAATCCTATCAATTTTGTAATCTTACGGAACATTTTACTGTCTGACAATATGAAGGATAGACACATTTAAAAATAAGTGTTACGTACATGGTAAAGGTACAATAAGATTAACTGGAAATTCAAGGAAACCAAATACATTTTTAGGACTTTTAAACTTTAAACTTTTAGGGCACTTTGCTCAAATCCTCAAATTAAAAAAAAGTTGACAATGCTAGCATAAAATACAGATGTTTAAGGTGTGTAAAAACAGTTACATTTAAAATGTTTATACAGGTTATACAGGAGCTGTTTATGTACCGTTGTGCTCGGTGCGGCTGATAATGAAGACTTCCAGAAACTTCCCTGTTTCTGTTTACCTCTGCTGCGGACAAGCACAAAGTAAAAGGAGTTAGCCCCGGAGCTAACGTTAGCTTCGGCCCTGGAGCAGATCACTCGTCTCCCCTGTACATTCCAACTATGGTAGGGATGCCGAAACAAGAAAGAGCTAACGTGTAACTCGCTGTGTAACAGGCACTGTTCGGGGAAAAAACAAAAATATTCCATGTTAGGCTTATAGAGAAGTGCGACCTATATATGTCCGAATATTTTTTTCTTCTTAAATTTAGTGGCTGCGGCTTATATTCATGTGCGCTCATTAGTCCGGAAATTACGATTACATTTTTCATGATCATTGAAATATGAAATATTACTTAAATTATTTATCAGTTCTCTTAGTAAAGCTAAAGATTGTCTTTTTTTTCCTCTGATGGTTAGCTCGAATTCAATGCTGTCTTTTAATTGCATTTAGTTTTTGTCATATTTTTGTTCAAAGTTCATAACATTTTAATTAACTTGTGACTCATTTTTATATAATTTATATATATATATATGTTATATGTTTCTTATGTTGATATTGCCAGATATAATTCCTTGCTCTACATTCAATCAAATGACAATCCAATGAAAGCAAAAGGATGACCAAACACCACCGTTGAGTGCAAAAACTGATGAGCTCATCATCACCGTCATCACATCAGTATGGGAAGCAAGTTGTGTGGTGAGTATTAGTCATCATGCCTTGTAGCAGTAATGTAAAAATGCCATAGGACAGTGACAGAGGGGACAGGGAAAGAACATTACTTTTTTAAATTCACAATTCGGTTTTTCAAAATGCAAAATAATTTACATCAACTAACACAGGTACACTTACTTGTCCAGGGTACAGCTTTTTACAGGATCCGCCAGGTCTTGGAGTGTTTTCTACAGAGGAGAGACACAAACAAACAAAGGAAGAAATGAAAAAAAAAAAAAATATATATATAGTAAAAAGAAACTAAAAAAGAGAAACAAACAAGAAAGAAATTTCAAAACAAGGCCTTGGTGAACGCGGTGAGCTAACAAGGAAGTGAAGTTAAAGATGACCTAATACCCATAAAAAGCAATGATGTCATGCTACCTGACTCATTTTCCCAGATGACAGCAGCTCTCCTGATTACAACAACCCTCTGCACATGTGCGTGTCTGATTACTTCTAGAGCAGTACTGAGATGTGCTGAAGCGCTCTTGTGCTAAAGATAAGGAATCTAAAATAACACAGCTGACACAACGGGGCTTATTGTCTATAACGTTCAATCAACGTAAATGTTCTAAAGCATTATTTATATATATATATATATATAATATTATAATTATATGTTAGAGACAAAGCAGATTAGCAAAGTATTGTTTTCTATCAGTTACACATGCGGCTAACACGGGTGACCTCTCTGCGATTGTTTAAGAAGTTTACACAATAAAAATGCAAACTACGGCCCGGGGGCCGGATGCGGCCCGTTTGGCTTTTTAATTTGGCCCTCTACACGTGTCTGAATTATGTTATTGATTTCTATCGTTATACTTCTGCCTTTTCCCTGCAGTGCCTGCATTTCCCCAATTGATGACATAGAAAAGGCTAAAAGCATTTTAGCATGTTAGCATTTATGCATGACTTTTACATGTCATTTATCTTAGTTCAAACAAACGCTTCATCCATCTTGCTTAAGTACTTAAGTTCAGAGAGGGACACCTTGCTGTGGATCGAGGCTGCAGATGGATTTAAATCTGTATTTCCAGATACAGAGCGATCGTTGTTCAAATTATTTTTAACACGTTGTGTACAGTCTTATATTGCCTCAATTCGAGAATGATCCATGGTGCACACTCATTCTGAACGCTAAGCTAACCGGTGTATTCCAGTGGACGTTTTGAAAATTCACTGTGAATAAAGGCAAGGGTAGGAGGAGAGAGCAAATGGTGAAGAGAAAGGGAACCACAGGACATAGGTGACCGTGATGAAACTGAATCTGGAAAAACAGACAGGAGGGAAAGGGGGACCATAGTACAACAGCAGTACCACCAGCATTTGCTATATACCGTAATTTCTGGACTATTGAACGCACCTGAATATAAGCCAGAGCCACTAAATTGAAGAAAGAAATAATTGAACATATATAGGCTATAAGCTATACATATATATACATATATACATATACATATACATATATACATACATACATATATATACATATATATACAGTATATATACATATATATATATGCTATATATATATATATATATATATACATATATATATATATATGCTATACATATATAGGCTTCTCTATAAGCCACAGGGGTCCGCGTTGTAACATGGGATATTTACGCAGAAAAATTTTTAATTAAATAAATGCTTTTTTCCGAACAGTGCCTGTAACACGGCTGGTCACACGTTAGCTCGTTCCTGCTTTAATGCCTTGACTGTACTTAGTGATCTGCTCCAGGGCCGAAGCTAGCATTAGCACCAAGGCTGACTCCCTTCACTTTGTGGTTGTCTGCAGCAGAGGTAAACAGAAACAGGGAAGTTAGGGTCTTAATTATCAGACAGGGCTCAATTTTTAGTTCATATTTTAGATATGTAATATAAATATATTTTATTTTTAATTATGTGTCTGATGGGGTTTTTTTAAAGCTATTCTACAAGTGCACTACTTTGATGGTTTTGTTTGCTCGTGTTTATTTTATTTTTTATTTTCTGCAATATTTGCATATTATATTATAGATATCGCAGTGGTAAATTCAGCAAGAAGGTGCGACAAATGCAACGGGGTTCTATAGTCAAGTAACCGCAACCCTCCTGTCCTCCTAAAAGAGCACATACTGTCGCCCTACTGTGGAATGTGTAACTATGCATGGACTTATGGACAATGATGAGCACATACTTAAAAGATTTAAAAAAAAAAAAGATGCCTCTCAGCCTTCGAACTAGGGGGTCAAGGGAGGTTACAGAAAAAAGGAAAACAGATGGCCGTGATGAACAGATCAATATAATTTAGATCTTTCACAAGGAGGTAATTTGACCTCAGCGCTCGCATTAGCAAAAGCAACAACTAACAGTAGCACACGGCTGTTGGCAGTGAAATTTATCAAATGGGCTAGCGATCCATTCCACAACAAGATGGACACTGACCATTACAAGGTCATGTGGCAGAGCAAAAGCAGTATCTCCAAAAACGTAGCCCAGAAAGAAACACTGTACACATGAAAAATACAGAGAGGGTGCTTTGAAGAGGAGAGAAAGGAAACAATATCCAAGATCCATGCTCTTTATTGATTGGGGCTTTGTTCTTCCATTGACCAATTTCCATAGAGCCAGACAACCTCTTGCACACACTTGCCAAGGGCTCCGCTGTGGTTTTGTCCAGTTGATGCTTCCCTGTATTTTTTTTCCATTGTGTCGCAAATACCTTATACAATGATCTCACAATGGGTGTTGGTATACAGACACCCACTTGGTATACACTAGCCTCTTAGCCTCCAATACTATCTTAGCACCTCTTAGTATCTTGGCAGTGGCGCTTTGGTGTAGAACCCCAGGGTTCACCTCCTGGGCAAGTTCGAATCCCGGTTAGGGCGGTTGGTGCCTTCCAGTGGACTCACCACCTACAGGAAGGTTTGGGGGGGGTGGTATGGGGCAGTGTGATTTGGATGGCGACTGCTACCCCCGCGACCCGCTAACGGAAAATGGATGGATGGATGGAGTATCTTGGCACAATACTGCAATACTACCACATAATGTAAATTCTACACCTCCCACGTCACCGCCAGTAGCACACATCCGAAAGGGAGAATGGGCGACCCGCTAACGGAAAATGGATGGAAGGATGGAGTATCTTGGCACATATCTTGGTATTACTATCAGGTACCTCTTCGTCCCATTCGGTGAATCTGGAGAGGGCGTCTGGCTTCGTGTTACGTGACCCAGGTCGGTAGTTTAGGGTGAAGAGGAACCTCTCGAGGAACAAGGCCAGCCAGGTCTGATGAGAGTTAAGGTGATTAGTGGCAACTCAGATGGTTCACAGGAACGCTCCCAGCTAGCTAGCATCAATTTCAACCACAGGTTTTCTTGCTCCAGTTGAAGAGGAGCTAAAGAGAATGGAGTTGATGGGCATTATAGAGAGACTGATCTGACAGAACGGTGCATGCCCATTGTCAATGTGAATGCTATGCTAGTTTTAGCCCCAAGAACTTCATCATGCTTTTCCTCCTCTTTCTCTTGCAAATGCTCACCCACGTTATGGATTCTTTGGGAAACAACGCTCTAGGCCACACAAGTACCGATAGAAATCTGTCAGTTATGTTAGCATCTGTCAGTTATGTGTGGACTACAGTCCATATCTGGTAGTGTCTGAACAAACAATTGTTGGCTTTACGGGGTCAAACAGAAAGTGAAAGTGAACTACTTGTCATTGTGACACAGCACAACACTGCACACAACAAAATGCGACCTCTGCTTTTTAACCCATCACCAAAGTGAATAGTGTGTGGGAACAGTGCCATGCTCAGAGCACCTCAGTGGTAACTTGGCAGACGGTGGACTCGAACCTTAAACCTTCCGGACCCAGGTTCGCTTCCTTAACCACTAAGCCACCACTGCCCTGATGAGAAGTTCAATGAGGAGCTCATCACAACACGGTGGAGAGGTTAGGTATCATCACATGTAGCTAACCATTTCAAACAACTTTCTCGGGTCACCAAGATTTTGAGGTAGTTCCATTGTTATTGTGGCCTTGACTTTCTCTGCGCTTAGGGATCCATCTTAGGTCCGACCTGTCCCTAAGAAGTTAAGTTCAGGCTGGCTAAGCTACAATTGTCTTTTTTGGACCAATAAAGCTGAAGACTTGCTTAGGCCTCATGAATCTCCTGTGTTTCTACAAAAACCAAAATGTCACGTAAGACCATGCCATCACGTCCTTGACATTTTTAGCTGTGGCCACCTGGACTTTCAAGGATATTTTTGTTAACACATAGAGTTGCTTATTCAATTAACTATCCATATTAATTCCATAAAACAACAGGGATCATTTTCTTCATAACCAATTTACAGATCGGTTGTAACCACATTCTAAATAACGCATCCACTGACTTTACTGTAGTTCACTCGTTCCACCATGCAAAAAAATAACCCTGTTGTTCCGCAACAAGGTCTCATCCTGATTCCGGACCGCTGACAAAAAAGTAGTCCTCAATCTGCTCAGCTGTTTTTCCTCTTCTTCAATCTGAGGTGTTAAAAAAATATATTTTATACAAAGACGAGCAATAATATGAACGACATCTCCCTCTGCAAATTACAACCGAATTCCCACTGTTAGCATTGTGCAAGGGTGTCTTTAAATAAATACAGAGAGTGGTTATGTTCTCACAAGGATAAGACACGTGGACACATCAGAACCTACATTTTCACTCAACTCACCACAACTTTGCGTTGAATGTTCAATCCCATACTTCATTGCGTTGGGTGGAAGTAACCGATGGGGAAAAAGTTATCGTGACGTACCGCTCGTATCGCTCGCTTGTGGTCTATGGTCTCGTGAAATCCTCCAAATGTTAATCCTCACCATCAGAAATGAACTAGGGAAGAAAGCAATTAACTATATTTGTCTGGAATAATTTCCAAGCGGATCTTAAATAGTGCGAACCTTGTTTTGTTTTTTTTTAATGTTTATTGATTTAAATATTGCGTGTTATCTCTGTTGTGGTGAGTGATTTTGTTTTGTTGTTATGTGGTTTTCTTGTCCTCTCTTGAAAAGATCGCATTAATAAAGGAATGAATATTAAACAATAAACTACCAAAGCATCATTTCCCATCATTTGAATTTCATTACATTAAATGTTGGAGGTACCGAAAAACATATGCTCAAAAACACTGCGATCATTAGAATAATAAATGCAGAACATCTTGCGTACAGCACAAACTATGCCGTTGCCCTGTGAAGCACAATTTGGGAGTGTGTGCAAGTGAACAGGGAACACGTGTTCCTTTGTTCACCAGAAAGCTGCTTGTAAGACACTACAAGCGCGCGCGCGCGCCCGCGCACGCATATCTGTGCGTATACTACCCCTGCTGGTCTGCACCAGAGTCTGACATCATCCTCAACATCGGACGCTTCTTTCCACACGCTTCCGTCACAACATTTAATATGAGACACTTCGCGTCGATAAACACGATGCTGTTGCTTTTACTTCAAAAGATGTCCCAGAATGCAGCACTGCTCCAAAATCACGTGCGCACCCAGACTTCCTCAACTCCACGCAGCACACGTTGTTTACATCCATACGTCGGTAGGGTATTCAAAATATGTATTAAGCATTAATTATTATAATGTCTGGGGGGGGGGCACCATTTTGAGGATACTTGTGAAATCTATGTTAAATATTCCTTTCTTTGTTTTTCCTCGGTGAAGAAAGAAAGCGAACAAAGAGGTGGAGTAGCAGGATGTGACATGCCATAGGATCAGGAACCTGAGACGGAACGGTAGCAGATGGGGGAGGTGCGTTGTGTCTGGGCTATGAGGAGGACGGGGGCGTGGTCGTACAAACCAGACTGGGCGTGGTTAAGCGTAGTCCAGCCTCATTTATAATGCAGACGCCTTGTGTCGCGGTTACAGGAGGGTTGCCAGATCCACGGTTTTTCGGTGGAGAAAAGGTTGAGAGGTTAATATTTAAGTTGAACCGTGTGTACTTATTTAAACTAATATTTTTCTAAAAGTTAAATCACTATTAAAAAAAAAAATCGAATGTGTGAACGTGTTAATTTCGGCAAACTTTACTTAAAAAAAATATATAGGAATTTGACAGGAATTTAGTTTTGTCTTGTTCAAATATGCGACTCAATCCTCGCTGCAAACGTCAAATCCCACTTTGACGTTCGGTTTATTGTCATTTTGAGCCTTAGTGATCATAGAGATAATATATAGTTTCAAAAGTTTTAGTCAAATCAACAATAGGGACATTGTACTAAGAGTAAAAGTAATTAGTAATTCGTTGAAAATGACTGGCATCCACAATCATTGGAGCTTTTCAGATATGAAATGAAAACACCCAAATGAAACCAACACCCAACTGTGTTTAACTGATTTCTTCATTTGACCTTGACTTTTCTTTTAATATTCTGCCAGTAAACACAAATTATTGCACAAAAAAAAAAAAACCATGGCAACATTTTTAAGTGACAGATAACTTGTTCACATGCTTTGGCATCATAAATGGTGAGCCATTCTCGTTAGCTAAGACTGAGCCTTTGTTGTTTACGCTGTCAAAACATAATCTCAACGGCCAAACATGTTGCTAGTTATGCTGCCAATTTTAGAAACGCTCATACTAGTACGATGATGATGCGGCGATTTCTCGGTTTCTCCACTCTCTTTAAGCACGCACTGCAGAACACATTACATTTTCTTTTATAAACAATTTTATGCAATTTGCTTTTTTTTTTTTTTTTTGGAAAATTTGTAATTGAATGTCACTTAGAATGTGTCGTAATTAGTCAAATATTGGCACACAATGTTTAGCACTCTAGTGGATTTGTGTTTTATATAATATTTCGGAGGCAGAGAATATTGAAGCGAAGGTTAAGTTTAAAGTTGTTTGGTTATTAAAATGTAAGATATTCATTTGGGTTGGGTTCAATCGAAGAGGACCATCGCCTGATCTGAGGACAAAATGAATAACATCTACCGATGCACTCTGAATGTCTTTGTTTGCCTTGGTCGCCACACATAACAACATCCACCTTAACGGTTTCTCTAACCATGTGCTGCAGCACTCCAGATATGGCAACCCTCTGTGCCGTTTGTTTTCAGAAGAGACTGTGACTCCTCTGTACAGTACACGAAAAAGAAGGAGAGAGAGAAAGAGAGAGAGCGAGAGAGAGAGAGAGAGGGGCGGTAAATGGGAGGGACTAGCGCAAAAGGAGGAATGGGAGAGAAGGGGTGAGGAGGAGGAGGAGGCGGGGGCCGCACGGGGGTTGGTTTCTTCCTTCAGTCTTTGTCTCACTCACTCTTTTGTTAGCCATGCCTAGCCTGCTAGTTTTAGCAGGGATCATGGAGAAAAATGGGGGCTTTGCCGGTGACCTGGCTGGCCCCAGCTTCGGCGGCGAGAGTCTCCTCGTGCCGCCCGACGAAGAGGAGGACGACTCCCGTGCCCTCAGGGTCGCTCTGGGCCAGTTGTCTTTGCTGGGTCTCGGGGAAGGCGAGGGTGGCGGCGGGTCCCCGACAACAGGAGTACAGGACCGAAGTAATAACAACAACAAGAAACACAGTGGCGGCGGAGACGCGGCTATACTGCAGGGCAAAAGCAAGTTGTGTTCGCTTTACGAGAGCGCGGCGAGCGAGACCAAAGGACGCGGCTGCAACATCACTGAGTGTGTGCCAGTGCCCAGCTCTGAACATGTGGCCGAGATAGTGGGCAGACAAGGTAACAGCACGCACACACACACACACACGCGCGCACGATTCCTGCATAAACTTCTTTGTGCTGCTGCTCCGTGACCCTGCCGTGCATTCTCTTCGTCTTGGACATTTATGTTTTCTTTGCCGTTACCTGGTATTATTTACGCGAGGAAAAGGGAGCGGTGTGTGTGTGTGTGTGTGCGTGTGTGTGTGTGTGTGTGTTTTGTACTCCCTCGAGGCAGCATCCTCCCACTTTTCTGAACTGTAGGTTACCTTTGTACGCATTATTCTCGAAAAGTCCGGCGTCTTCTATTTTAAAATAATAATATTCAACGCTATTATTATCGGCAGCGGCGTGTGTATTCGTAGCAGTATCGGTATTATTGATGGCGTTAATAATTTATTATGTTATTATGTGAATAAATGTGCGTATAGACATATTTTGTTTCCCCCCCTCTAAGTTATTCTACATCCATGCCCGAATATCGCTGCACACACAAACGATAACTATAACTATTATATTCCAAGCTTCTACAATTACTTTTATATTTTTTTGGGGACTACAACTGTTTTCTTAGCTGTAGCTATAACCAGTTAACTAACCATATTTAAATCTTACTAAACTTGGACCAGAGCCTCAAAACAAAGGTTCCGGTTCATTACAACTAGGATTGCGTCCCAAAAAAAAGGGTACAAAAGGGACAGCAAAATTCAACACACACAGAAGCAGCACTTACTTCCTTTGTCGTCTGAGGTGCGCCTGACGTTAAAGAAAGACTTTACGCTACCGGGGAAGCGAATATCTCTCACTGCAGTTTAAAAATCTGTAGTCTTAGTGTTGTAGTATGTTTAAAAAATAAAAACAAAAAAAAACAAACGTTTTTATTATTGTATTCGGCTTCTTGTTTCTCGCGTTGCCCGCTGCCAAAGTGATACAGTCGGACAAAGGAGGGTGCGTGTTTCCTTTTTTTTCTCCCCCCCGCCCTTTTGTGTCTGTCTTCCCCCTGGAAATGATGGAGTTGGGGAAGATGTGTTAGGAAGTACTTTTAAAAATCAATTTTAATGTGAATATTGCAAAAAACGTTGCTGCAGTCGACTGATAGCAATGCACTGCTGTGAGCCCCACTGAGACAGCAGAGAATCAACCAAGTTGTAAAAGGTTTAAGGAGCAGGGTCAAACTTTCTGTTTTTGTTTTTTTTAACATTCACATTAGGTCATTGTGCGTTTGTGTTGTGTAGAAATGGAACGATGCGTATATTAAAATCACACGTGTAGTCGGCCGCCCAATGAACTCTATGTATTTCAGTAGTGTTTTTTTTGTTGTTTTTTTTTGGACAGAAGTTCTCCTCTTCACCATGTCCTCGTATTTACAACCTCAAACTACAAACTTAATTATTGGGAGGAAATTAAATCCAATGTCAAAACCACAACGTTGTTCCAAAATGTATGTATTATGTCACCCTGGTCTTAATGCAGAGTTACCAATATTGCTTCATCGCCCACAAGTATTCTCCTCAATAATAGACACGCCTACCGGTATATACCAGTAGAGGTGTAAATACAAATGTCAAATATATTCACATTGACATTTGTTTTTCTGCATAACATCCCTTTCCTTTAACTTGCGATAAGCCCCAACGTGTGTGCCCTGCCCATCTCTTTAGCGGGTGTAAAACCTGAGGATGACTTCACGTAAATACAGCAACTGTTGAGTGGTGTGAAATAAATGGTGTTCACACTGCTCAACGGTCAGTTCTTCTGTCATCGCGCACGTGCTCCAAGGGTAGTTGTGTGCCATTATGGCAGGTGTTGTAGACCTCAGGACAACGCACAACACACGCTGTGGTCCGACTGTATATGTTTGAGCCACAGTTAGGCCCAGAACGAGAAGCTAAAGCTACTGGTTGGTGGTTAATACGTTACCTCGACATACATTGGTGGTCAAATATGGACTAACAAAAGATGTACGCCACTGGTTCTCTCTGTGTCGTAACGGTTGACAACACACTTCAAGTGCCCCGGGTATTAGCATAATATAGCACATGTTCATTTAGCATGTGCTTAATGAGCGATGGGTTGATCGTAGTACATGTAGGAGTATGGCAGTATGGGTGTAGCCACCCAGTGCAGGGATCAGGATTTTATAATTATAACAGGTGATTTTGAGACAACAGATTTTCAAACCTCTACTCGTTTGTCGAAACTGGCAAGTAGTAGGTGGACGCTCGAAGGTTGCGTGATCAATTAAAATGGAAACGAAATACAACCTTTTCATTAATAAAAGTCCATCCATCCATCCATTTTCATCCGTTACCGGGTCGCGGGGGCAGCAGTCTCCACGACCGCCACCTAAATCACTCTACCCCATACCAATCCCCCTCCTCCCCCCCTGAACCTTCCTAATCGGGATTCCATCTTGCCCAGGAGGTGAACCCTGGGGTTCCACACCAACGACAGAGACATCGCCTCTGGGCCGAAGCTCCGCTAATAATAGTCGAAATGATTAATTATTATTATTATTATTAGTTATTTAAGTCACTGATAATGACATTGTAGAATAAATAATAATGACCTAATCAGAAGGAGCACCCTTGACCAATGAGTAGGTCCAGATGAGTGAAGTCACAATTGGCTTGCAAAATAGCACCTCATACACTGGGAAAAAAAGAAGCCATTTTTTAACATTACATAGATTGTTCTTTTAAAATTTTAGCTCACAAGGACGGACAGTTACAGTCAGAATCTGAACCCAAACCATGGAGTTTATTGCAGCAAATGCTATGGTACCATTTCTGTGACGTGGAGGAAATCAGTGAGTTTTTTTTTTTTAACTCATAAGTCACTTGTTGGTTGTATTGAAGGTGGTTGAAGTGATCCGTCATGTTGCCGCATGATACAGACACCACACCAGGGAACTTAACTTAACATTTCTCCTCTCCATCTGCTATGTTCTCCTGCTGCTCTCCTCCTTCTGCTGTCTTTACTCGTGTTGTCTTAAAAGAAAAAAAAAAATACTGGAATAGACCCTTGTAGGTATATGCATGTGTACATACTTATGATTGCAGAGTGAAAGTAGGCAAAAATATTTTAAGAATAATCATCCTTTTTTTTTCTTTTTTTTTCCTGTTCCAATGTGGCAGTGGTACTAAATGATTACAAATCCTTACGGTCCACTACGCTTATTTTTTTTTTTTTATTATTAGCAAATAGAATCACACCAAGAAAAAACAAGCACGGGAAAGAAAAGGTCTACAAACTCAAAAATGTCTGTTCTATATTAAAATTTACATAAATTATCTAAAGGCAGCCGGAAGAAGGGACCAGTGAGAGGAGCTTTTAAAACTAAATGCTTAGTTCCACAATTTTCCTTTTACACAAAAACAATGCTGAGAAGCAAGCAAAACAGTAATGCACATCCGGAATGTGATTAGTCTGTCTTGAATTCATGTTAAAAAATATGTACAATATGATGTAAATGAAGTGCAGAGCGCACCAAAAAAAAAATAAAAAAATACAATTTTAATAGGCCATGTAAAGATTTGGGAGCTTGGGGATTTTTGAAATTGAAATCCATGCATCCAGGGTGGGATTCGGGTATTTCGACAGATTATCTGCAGTGTCAAGTGTCATTAAGTGTCATTAAGCCTCATAACGGGGGAAGATGATTCCAACAATAAAAATGAAAACCCCTAAGATAAGCATGATGTTCACTATACTGTGCCTGTATAATAGACAGCATTTTTTTTTGGTCTGGTAGGAAATGGTCATTAAAATATATTGTAAGTACAGTGAAGTTCTTAATGAGCAACATGCGTAGAAGCGGTAAACTGAAGCATAACGTGGTGAGAACGGTTCGTGACGATGGTTAATATTATTGATGTGCACTTCAAGAATGGGTTTTAAAGTCTGGCACTATAAATGTACAACTATACATGTATAAATATACAAAGTCTAACACTTTAGACCATATGAACTATGAAACAAAATGCAAGGCTAAAACCGTTTTTTTTAAAACATATTTTAATATAAGATAATATAAGATGACAGTGATGGAAGAAGTCAACTTCATTGTCTTGATTGCCATCAACGCTGGCAGCAGTGACCGCTTTCAAGGGCGCAAGAGAATCGGTGGTTTTCTCAACACACCACAGCCACATAGCTACTAGTGGGATTCAAACCTTCGACCCTCTGATAAACACCACTGGGCCCATAAGCTGTCCCAATGGGCTGCTTTTATTGCTGTTATTTTCACAGTTTCATTGCCATTTAATGTAGGTATTTATTACTGAGTAAACTAGCCCCACTGAAATGCAACAGACAAATATGACAGTATCTCTGTCATGTCCTCCTCCTCCTCCTCCTCCTCCTTTTAATTTCTTTCCCTTGCCGAAGGCACCAGAAAGTTTGGTTCGTTTGGGATATTATTATCATTGTTAATGTTTTCTGGGATTGCGTCAGAAAACTCCACCCTGCCCTCAGGGAGCGTGTACAGCCTACTCTTCCATCTTTTCTAATAATCTTTTAGCTTTTACAGATAAATGAATTGTGTTTTATGAAACATTATACATGTGCAGTTATTACATTTATTAGTATGTAATGGATGTGTTATTGATTGTGTTTATAAAATAAGAGTACTATCTAGTGCTACTTTAAGAATCCTGGATGGTACACTTTTTTCTATTTTTTTTTTGCATTTGCCTATAATGACGTAAGAGCCTAAACGTTCTTTGGATCATACCTTGATCTTCAGACTGTAAATCAGCCAGATTTTAGAAAAAACAAATGTTGTGGCCATTCTGAAATCCTCATTATTTACAGCGATTATGCCTAGACAGTAGAAACGTATATATGTCCCTGTTGGACTTTCCCTTAAAACAAGTGAAAGAATAATATTAATAAAAATCACAGAATTCAAAACAACGTACAAATACATGTGTATACAAATTATTTAAAAAATATTTAATGGAAATATTTTATATTAGGGGTGTCTGGGGCAGTGGTGGCTTAGTGGT